GCAACATTACTCCAGATTTAAATCTCAGGTAGGCATATGAGATTGGCTGAGTTTAGGTCAATGTGCATTCCTCTGTTTGTCAAGGAAGGTAGGGATAGAGGTATTCTTCCTTATGGCTTTTTTAGTGGGAGGCTGGGTTCTCTTCTATTAATAGTTTTTAGGCTTTTTCTATACCTGTTTAGACATTTTGTTTTATTACTTTACTTTTTTAGATTGATTCATGTATTAAACCAACCTTGCATTCCCAAGATTAAATCTTACTTTTCTTGATGCATTTTTGTTTTTATATACTGTTTGATGCAATTTGCTAAAATTAAAAAAAAACAAAACTTCTCATCTATGTTTATGAAAGCGATTGGTCTTCAGTTTTCTTTCCTTGTAACTACTTTATCTGGTTTTGGTATCAGGGTAATTCTGTCTTATAGACTGAATTGTAAAATTTAATTCTTTTTTGACTTTTGAGAGTTTGTGTAGAATTGGTATTATTTATCTCATAAATGGTTGGTAGATTTTAACATCAAAGCTATTTGGGCCCAGAATTTTCTTTGTGGGAAACTTTTTGAAAGAGTATTCAATTTCTTTAATAGATATAAGGTCATTCTATTTACCTACTTCTTCTTAAGTGAATTTTGGCAGTTTATGTCTTTAAACGAATTTATCTTTCATTGATTGTCAAAATTATTAGTATAAACTTGTTCATAATATTCAACAGCTTTCTTTTTTTTTTTTTAAGGATTTTATTATTCCATTATCTCTCCAAAGCCCCCCAATACATAGTAGTTGTATATTTTAGCTGTGGGTACTTCTAGTTGTGGCACGTAGGATGCCTCCCCAGCATGCCCTGATGAGCAGTGCCATGTCTGCGCCCGGGATCCGAACCAGTGAAATCTTGGGCTGCTGAAGCAGAGCACATGAAATTAACCACTTAGCCACAGGACCGGCCCCACCAGCTTCCTTTTCAACGTCTGTAGGGTCTACAGCGATGTTCTCATACTTCTGATACTGGTAATTTGCATCTTTTCTCTTTTTGGCCTAATCCGTCTGTCTAGAGAATTAGCGCTTTTACTATCTCAAAAGCATAGCTTCTAGATTAACTGATTTTATATATTGTTCTTCTGTTTCCTATCTTATTGATTTTTTTGCTGTTATCTTTATTTCACTTTTCTGCTTAATTTGTTTTTAATTTGATGCTCTTTTTGCAGTTTCATAAAATGAAAGTTTGCCTTTGGTTTAAAACCTCTCTCTTCTTTTCCAATGCACGCACTTAGGTGTCATAACTTGATTTGTAAGAATTACAACTACATTACATGTGTTTTGCTACATTGTGTTTATATTTCCTTTCACTTCAAAATGTTTTCTGATTTCCCTTTTTATTTCATCTTCTTTTTTTCAGAGCTTTACTATTATTTTTTCTGGTTATAACTTTCTTGATATCATCTACATACCATACAATTCACATTCTTGAGAGTAAAATTCAATGGTTTTTACTTTATTCACAGAGCTATACAACAATACCCGCAATCAATTTTGGAAGATATTTTTCTTTCCCCAAAGACTGTGATACCCTTTAGCTGTCATATCTCTCCTATCTCACTCTCAGCCCTATGCAACCACCAATATACTTCATGTCTCCATAGATTTAAATATTCTGGATATTTCATATAATGGAATAATATAATATGTGGTCTTTTATGATTGTCTTTTTTCACTTTACATAATATTTTCATGTTCATCCATTTTGTAACTTATAAAGGTATTTAATTCCTTTTTATTTGTTGAGTAATATTCCATTGCATGGGAGATATACACTTGTTTGCCCTTTCATAAATTGATGGACATTTAACTTGGCTACTTCTTAGCTATTATGAATAACGGTGCTATAAACATTCATATACAAATTTTTGTGTGGATATATGTTCATCTATTGGCTTCTGGAGAAGGTTTACTTCATGATATAAAGAGAGAGAGATGTGAGGAGAGTTCTTTTGCCTTGTTCTCTTGCTATTTTCTTTGGCTATAGCTGTCTTTAGATGTGTCTTGGAGCACTGGCAGTCATTTTGTGACCATGACGTGAACAGCTTGAGGACTAAGTCAACAGTCTGAGGACAGTGAAATGAAAGAGTCTGGGTCCTTGAGAGTATTCACTTTCTGACTCACCCCTAGGACAGTGTACATACTGGTTTATTATTCTGTGAGAAAAGTGCCTATTTTAAATTAATTTTTAACAGAATTCTATAACTTAAAGCAAGAAACTTTCTAATGGAGGGCATGAGTTAAATGCTACATTCCTGAGATATAAAATGGAAAGTATATTATTTTAATAGATGAATATTTTGAAGGATAGTCCTACAACTTTTCAGCAAACATTGAACAGAAAAGCTATCATTTGCAATGATAGAAAATAGAGTATGTGCAGATTTAAACTTGAATTTTAATATATTCTTTGGTTCACTTGGCTGGTGCTTTCTGTTCATTATGCTCTTGTGGTCTATGAAATGTAAACATTCTCCAACATTCTTTTGTTTATATTTGTTAAGAAGGGTAAGACTTTGCACAATACTCAATGTGCTCAAAACTCTTAAATCAATCGAAATAGTACCTTCCCAGTTTTAATCAAATTTAACTCTCACTTGATTTCTTCTTTAATTTTATGTGAAACTTCATCATAATTTGATACTTACACTTTGATTACAATGTTTCAATTGTTCCATGGATAATTGAGAAACACTGAAAGTTCTTAAACTAGGAAAGGACAGATCTGTGCTTTCAGAACTTATTCCGGCAAGCAGTGCATATGGCCAATTAAGAAGGAGTATGTGGGAAAAAGCTGGAATAATAGTTGGAACCACTGCAAATCAGCAGTATAGTTCAATTAAATCCTTCTAAGTACCTGAATGTACGTGGTGGCTGAGGGAAATGGATGGAACTCAGTGTGGTTGTAGACTCTTATACTTAGCATGAAAGAAATGTGGAAAACATTCTGAAGGTTTTCACCAGAAGACAATATAACTTACAGAATTATTTATTGAGTGCCTACTATGTACTCTGCACTATACATTGCACCGTGAGAATGGTACTAAGAAAGACAGAGGAGATGTTTGTCCTTATAGAACTTATAGTTTATGGGGAAAAACAAAATTAAATGAAAATAATGTTGTGTTACTATGGAGGATCTATTGGAAGTTTTGAGAGCATGAATAATGACAGCTGTGATTGACTGACTATTTACCACATGCGAGGTAACGGTCTCACTATTTGACATGCATTTTTTCATTTAATCTTCAAAACAACCCAGTGAAATAAGTGCTATTATTAACATCATTATTTTAGAAATTATGAACTTCCATAGAGAGTTTAAATAACATGTCCAAGTTAGTAAATGTAGGAGTAGGAGTCAACGCATGCCCTCTAACTACATAGCCCCATTCTTTTCTAGAATGAGAAGTAATTAATTCTCTCAGTTAAGGAACTATTACATTTAAGGACCCAGCAGGATCGTCAGGTAGAAATTTCTAGCAGATATTTAGAAGTGAAAACTTTATGAGGGAAAAAGTCATTAATTTTTTTTTTTTTTTGAGATAACCCAGGAGAGACAACAACTAAATCGAGTTACTGCAATTTTTGAAAAATTTCAGGTAAAAAAATGAAAAAGACTGTAGGCAGACTCTGGAAATTTTCCATTTAGAATATGGAAAGAAACAGAGGAAGAAGATATATAATAGATTTTTCTTGAGAGATGAAGATGATAGGAAGATGGGTGTTTATTTTTGCCTCTGCCTTAGGGGATATACAAACCCTAGAGTGAAGTGTAAACTAGATTAAAACATTAAGCCCCTAAGGAACTAAAGAGAGATCATGATCCAGAGTGTAAATATAATTCCCTTGTTTCTCTTTTACACATAGAATCTAATCCCTGGGGAAGACAATGAGCAAGCTTCTGCCCCAAGCGCTCTATATTATTAAAACTTAAATTCCATCTTTTCTGTCTTATCAAGTGGCAAATATGATAATAATAAAGACTGTTTATTTTTCTCTACTCCTTGAGAGGGCTCAAAGTCAGAATCAGAAATTATGATTTGTAGTGTAGAAAGATTTCCAGGGCATATATGAAATAAATCTCTGCTGCATTCTTTTGAAAGCAGAAGAAGCAAAGCCCTGGAACCTGAAATTGCCTCTCCAGGACCATGTGGGTACACACCAAGGGTAAGAGAGCACTAGTGTTTTCTGTCCTAAGGAGAGTGAGTTTCTGAATTTTATTTATGTTAATGTCCTTCTTGTTTTGAGATGGAAGTCCAGGGATGTAAGATCTGCTATTTTCTTTCCCATTTTAAGCAGTCCTGAGATTCAAGTGAGACTGCTGGGAGAATGTGTTCAATGGAGATCAGAGAATATTCAGAGATTAGGAGGCTCAGAAAGTGCAGTGTCTCAGTCAGTAAGTTCTCTCTCCATGAACAGACTCACTCTTCTAGATTTATGACTTTTACTCTGTGACATGGGGTAGTAACTTAAATTCTCTTAGACTTTGGTCCCTTAGTTTTGGTTAGAAACAGCTTCTTGGTCCCACTCCACCAAGTCTAATCTGCATTAGAGGCCAGCACCAGGTTACTAGGGTATCTGCCTACAACTTTACTGGTGAGGGGAAGGCTTAAGTGAGTGAAGAAATTGTAAGATGAGAGAAGGATGATTATGTCCTGGTCCATCCTTCTCTCTTATCCCTTGGTTTTCCAGCAGTTACATTTTCAGACGGCAACGATAGCCTTCCCCCAATAAGATAATTTTGTCTTGCCCTTTGCCATATTTAGCCTATGAAGACTCTAGTAAGGGAAAGTCCATGTCACTCAGTATCATGATGGTAACAACATATTCTATGGGTCCAAGTTGGGCTAGTCTGAGGCATACCCAGTGTATACACCCTTGTAGGACAAGATATTGTGTGAAGAGCTGAATTCTTCTTTAATGTAATCTTTTTCTCCTGTGTCCACAGATTCCCTTGGAGAAGAATGGCTCCTGGAAATGGTTCCATGGTGACTGAATTCATTCTGGTGGGATTAACAGACTGATCAGATCTCCAGATTCCCTTGTTCTTCCTGTTTCTAGCAGTGTATAAGGTCACTGTGTGGGGAAATTTGGGCTTGATAACTCTAATTGGGCTGAATTCACACCTGCACACTCCCATGTATTTTTTCCTCTTTAACTTGTCCTTCATAGACCTCTGTTATTCTTCAGTATTTACACCAAAAATGCTGATACATTTCTTATCAAAGAAGAATGTTATCTCTTACATGGGGTGCATGACTCAGCTCTACTTTTTCTGTTTTTTTGGCATTTCTGAAGGCTATATGCTTACATCAATGGCCTATGATCGCTATGTGGCCATCTGTAAACCACTTCTCTATAACATTGCCATGTCCCATAAAGTGTGTTCCAGCCTCATGCTTGGTTCATACTTGATGGCATTTTCTGGTGCTATGGCCCACACAGGATGCATGCTGAGACTGACTTTCTGTGATGCAAACATCATCAACCACTATTTGTGTGACATACTTCCTGTATTCCAGCTCTCCTGCACGAGCACCTATGTCAATGAGCTGGTTGTTTTCATTGTGGTGGGCATCAACATCATTGTGCCCAGTCTCACTATCTTTGTCTCTTATGGTTTCATCCTCTCCAGCATCCTCCACATCAGTTCCACAGAAGGCAGGTCCAAAGCTTTCAGCACCTGCAGTTCCCACATTATTGCTATTTCTCTATTCTTTGGATCAGGTGTGATTATGTACCTCAAACCATCTTCTGCTGGGTCTATGGATGAGGGAAAAATCTCTTCTGTCTTTTATACCAATGTGATTCCCATGATGAACCCTTTAATCTACAGTTTGAGGAACAAAGATGTTAAACTTGCTCTGAGAAAAACCTTGAGCAGGAGAAAGTTTTCATTAGAATCATTGTCTCTGTGCAGGTAGACATAGTACAGGGAGATTCCATGTGTTTATTTACAAATTTTTTAGTAGCAGCCTTCTTAGCCTATTTTTTTTTTCTCACAATGGTATAGGAAATTTGATGCTTCTCTCAATCATTTTCTGCTTTCTTTAGAGTAGTCTGCTTCCTTTCCTCACAATTTCTTCTCCTTTTTCTCATTTTTCTATTTAAAAGTAGCATGAAGGAAGAAATTTATCTGTTTTCTTTCTATTTTCATTATCCACATTCTTTATTTCCCCTAGAAAAAGATGAATCATTCTGCTAATGATCAATAAAGTAACACTAGTGTGACGTCTTTCATTGGGCAATATCATAATTGCTACTTGGAACTTGCCTTTGGAAGCATGAATCAGATAATCTGTACCTACTCTTTTTTTTGCATCCTGTAGTGGACAGGAATATGACCCCTTCAAATGCCGGGGTTTCACAATTATAGCAGATTCCATAATGACCTTCAAATATATCCCACTTTGCAGAGGTAAACACTATGCATTAAACTTCTTTCATTTTACTTGAGAGATTTTATAGTTACCTTTCTACATTCAGAGTAGTACATAATAGATTGTCAATATATATTTGTTACATGGATAGAATAATGACACTCAGACAGGTTAATGATTTACTTAAAATCACAAAGCTTGTTTATGAAAAAATCTAAAATAGAATATTAGACTCCTGATTTCAAGTCTACTACTCTTCTTTTTTTTTTAATTTTCATTGAGGAAGATTGGCCCTGAGCTAACATCTGTGCCAATATTCCTCTAATTTTTGTATATGGGCTTCCTCAACCGCATGGCTTGATGAGCGGTGTGTAGGTCCATGCTCAGGATGTGAACCCCTGAACCCCAGGCCACCAAAGCAGAGCTTGTGACCTTAACTGCTACGCAATTGGGCTGGCCCCATCAAGTTTATTGCTCTTTAGAATATACTTCCTTTCTACTTAGTTTTATTTTTATTTTAGTAAACATGAAATATGAGAAAACATTTCTATTCTGAAAGAACTTTTTCCACACACACACAAAAGAACCTGAAATGTTTTCAGGGCCTTATAATTCAGAGAATGAGAAATGGGAGGAATAATTTCCCAGGGACAAGTTATTAGTTCATGACCCATGGAGACATGTGGCCAATAAAGAAAAGTTCCCTCAGTAGGGGATAAGCAATGAGATTTAAAAAAACACATTTCATTCTGAATTTTTATCCTGTTCTATAGAGTACTGTAACTATCTTTCTGTCTATAAAGTACTGTACTTATCCTCTACTGTTCTTAAAACTTTCATTAAATCTTATAATACATAATGACCACATATTAATAGTGGTTTGAGAATGAAGACCGTTGGTTATGGTCACATTTGTGTGGAAACAGAGACGGGACAATATCTTAAGGAGGTTATATAGTGAGTGGAAGAAGGAATAGAAAATAAATTAATGAGAAAAGAAAGCCCTTTCCATGTCTCTCTTCTCCTTTCTGAAAAAAATCCTACCAATATTATAGAAGTCAACCTTCCAGATAGGATGAAAGCCTAAGTTATTTGATATTAAAAAGTTTTACAGCATTGGTGGACCTGGGAACAACTAAATTATTCCTGTTTTTCATGGCTTCCATATGCTACTCCCATATGGATTTTAAAGTACAAAAACCTCAAATTGGTGCTGGGAGAGCAATGACAATTTGAAAGAAATAGTTGGTGAATAAATTAAATTTAGACAATTTCTTTTCTAGAATTTGATGTTGGATTACTTTTCTTTTGAGAAAACAAGTAGAAAGATAACCACAAAAAGATCCTCAATATGATGTATCATGATAATTTAAACATGATCTAACATAACTGTAATAACATTTACTATTTTACTGTTTTTCTAATCTCCACTCAATATTTAGGTATTTTTCAATTTAGCATAGTTGGATTGTTGGCTTTTGTTCATTTTTTTTGTTTTTTAGATGTTCAGCATTGCTTAAATCTTTGACTTACGGTTTTAAATGACCGCTCATACCTTAGCCCTTAACTCCAATACTAATATTTGAATGTACTATGTGTGACAATGGCTCTTAGAAGTCGTGCTGCAGTTTTCTCTGACTGTCACATCTGTCCCTCTATGTGTTCCTCAGGGAGGAACTTTGAGATAAATGGAGAAGGGGATCCTGGTTCCCATTTCATAAATGATGAAACTAACACACAGAGATTTTCATGACTTGTTCCAAATCACAATTTATAAGTGCTAGAGCTGAGATTAGGACTTGAGTGTTTAGATTCTAAAATATCAGGTTCTTAAAAATTATAGAAAATTTTCCATACATTTAAAAATCAGTGAAACATGAACAATGGTTTCAATGAATAAAAATACCTCTGAACACAAACAAAAGCAAAATTTTCAAATAGGGCAAATGTTCCTAAAGGATATTTCATGTTTCATTGACAACCATTGCCTAATTTAGAATAGATGAATATATTACTGGATATATTCTTATTTCATACTTCTATATACAATGAATGGAAACACATAAGTTTAGTCTATAATGATCATTACTGTTAATAGGTGCTTACTAAGTGCCAGAGTCAACAGTAAATTCTTACTCTCAAGATTGCATTGAATTTTCACATCAATGATATTGGTAGGCAGCAATATGATTAGCCCATTCTGGCAGATTGCTAGCTATTCACCTCTTCTTCCACAGCACACATTTCCCAGTCATTCTTGCAGAAAGATGTAACATGTGACTGAGATTTAGACATTATGAACATCATTCCATGGACATGGTGTGCCCTTTCTACATTCTCTTTGTGCTGGATGCAGATGACCATGAGACCCTACTTAGGTGTAAAGCTCTAAAGAAAAGCCAGAGAGGGAATGCAATAGAGTTAAGAGAGGGAATGGAAGAACAAATGGAACTAGCATCAAGTAGGGGCACTTAGAGTGCTGTGGATGCTGGCAGTAATCTATTTATAGATCTGCATGGTGATTATAAGCTTTTCATTTTATAATAGACATTTGAAGTGTATATTTATAGACTTTTACATATGTATTTATGCTGTTTCACAATAAATTAAAGTTACAGAACTTTGATTATACTTCTACTTAAACTGAGCATTAAACTAATCCATAAGCAAAGACTCAGAATAACAATTCAAGTCTTTGGGAACAGCCTTCCTAGCAGATTGGCTCACACAGAAGCCAGCAGAGGTGGAGTAACATGTGCAAAGTAATCTAGACCTGTCCAGGGCAGAGAGAATCCCTTTACTGCACTCAGTGAAGAATTTCTTCCAGTGTCTGTGAGAGGAGGAAAAAGAATGTAAAATCCTACTTTATAGATTTGTGGTAGGTATAAAACATTATATTTAGTTTAATGGTATAGTAGAGAGGGTGTAGTTCTTATTCCATATAATTTTATTTTCTTAACCCTTTCTGCTTTCTTTATAGAGTCTTTCACTAAAGAGCTTCTGCAGGCATTATTTTTAATAGGTCCATGATAAGAAGAATTTGGAGATATAGAAATATTTAGACATAGAGAAAAGACTGTTCTTCAATCTCCAGAGTGTTATAAAACATAATGATTGAATCAGAGCCTGGTATCACAATTGTAATTGAAGTTTAGGGATGATTCAGCAGTAAGTAACTTTGTGTCAAGTTCCAGAATATTGGGTTAAAGCACTTTATATTTCACCTACGTCTCTGGATAAGCATTGTTCCTGGATAAGAAGACAGGCCTGAATCTGAATACGGAACTCAGGTTGTCTCTGTTTAGTAAAGCAGAGAGTGAATAAGTAGTTGGCCCTTGGTCTTTGCATGTTTGTACTCGTAATGCAATCGTCATGGTTATTAACTTTTCATAAACTGGTTAGAACATGGAGCTTGCTTTTGATTCCAAGTAAATGATTTTTTTTTTAAGATTTTCTTTTTTTCATTTTTCTCCCAAAGCCCCCCCCGGTACATAGTTGTATATTCTTCATTGTGGGTTCTTCTACTTGTGGCGTGTTGGACGCTGCCTCAGCGTGCTTTGATGAGCAGTGCCATGTCCGCACCCAGCATTCGAACCAATGAAACACTGGGCCACCTGCAACAGAACGCATGAACTTAACCACTCAACCACAGGGCCAGCCCCCCAAGTAAATGATTTTGTTTATAAAAGTGATGGTAAAATATCATGATGACATAGTGCTGAAAATAAACATTTTGTTAGCTGTTGCTAGGAATTATAAAGATAAAAGAAACAAAAAACATTAAAAGTAGAAAGGAACTATTATATAAAATAAGGGCCAAAGAAAAAGTTCACTTATCACTAACAATGGGAATAGGAAATGTGAAAAGATTAAGAATACTTTGACAGAATTCTGGCTTGAATCTTTGGATTGGAACTCTCCAACTAGTATAGTCTGCTGAGGCAGAATATATTCTGCTATTCTTAACTTGGACTTGCATTTCACAGGCAAGAACCTTCTGATACCCTCTCACTGAAAAAAAAGAAAAAAGGCTTTTAATTGTTCCCTGTTTCTTTTATATTTTAAACAATTTTATTGAGGTGTGATTGACATGTAAAAAGGTGTACATATTTAATATTATCAACTTGATGAGTTTGGAGATAAGTATTTACTTGTGAAAATATAATCACTATTAAGGCCAAAGACATAGACATTACCTCCAAAAGTTTCCTCCCACCTTTTAATTAGTATTTTATTTTGTAATAAGAGCAATTAAATTTTACTCACTTGACAAATTTTAAGTATGCAATACAGTACTGTTAGCTATAGGCATTATGTTGTATTGTAGATCACCAAAACTTATTGTTGTATAACTGAAACATCGCACCTTTTGACCATCACCTCTCTGCTTTCTTCTCCCCAAAGCCCCGGCAATCACCATCCTGCCTTTACATCAGTGAGTTTGACTATTTTAGATTCTTCATGTAAGTGAGGTCATACAGTATTTGTCTTTCTGTGTGTGGCTTATTTCACTCAGTGTAATCTCCTCTAGTTCCATACATATT